CTTCTCAATAATAATATACAATAATATACATATACATATACATTTAATATACATATACATATACATATACATATACATATACATATACATATACATATAACATATACATATACAATTATACATTATACATTGACTATACATATACATATACATATACAGTAATATCTAATATACATCATACATATACATATTACATCATACATATTACATATACAGTATACATATACACTATACATATAATCAATAACATATACTAATATACATATACACTATACATATACATATTAATATCATATACCTATACATATACAATACATATACATTATACATGATACATATACAACTATACATATACATATACATTATACATAGTACATATACATATTACATATACTATACATATACTATAACATATACAATATACATATACATATACATATACATATACATATACATATACATATACATATACATATACTATACATATACATATCACACTGATAATATTACATATACATATACATCATCATTACTACATAGTATATTAATACTGTATATTTATATATATATGTCTTGATTATCTATGCGATCAAACACAATCTTAGCTGTCGTCCCGCAGCCGTCGACGGAGAGCAGGTTCCGCTTCCTGCGTTTTGCGTGTTGACGCACCTCCTGCTCGCTATACAATCATGAATTTCCAAAGAACGTGATTCCGGCAAACACGTCTGGATTCCCGTTGCGGATTTACACACGCTAAGTGCAGATAGCTAGGTATAAACTACACCTAATATTGATTATACGGTTATTAATATCTAGATAGTAAACTATACTGTACCTCATTCTGATTAATAATATAAGGCGCATAATAAACACACATGCACGTACAAACAGCATCAGACGCGCCACACATTCACACACGCACACACACAATCCTCCCACACGCACGCTACGCACACACGCACAAACGCACAACACACGCACGCAGGACCATGCCCACGGCACAGACGCACGCACTTGCTTCAAACACAAACACACAACACATACAGCACACACACACACACACACACACACACACACACACAGCACACACACACACACACACACACACATACACACACACCACACACACATCTGCACACTCACACTACACCGCCACGCACGGCACACACAGACATGCTGCAGGCCGTAAGCCAGGGCGGCGGTTCGGGGGCGTTCGCAACGAACCCCCCCCGGGCCCAAGGCGCAAAAAATTTTTTTTTTAAATTTGCAAGAATTTCACCTCAGGTCGCTCTATTTTAGTGTGAATATGCCCAAAATCTCACATCGTTGCGGGAGCGTGAACAGTGAACACCCCTCCGCCACCCTCCCCGCACTCGGTCGCTTTGGCGGCTCCCTCGCCTGCGCGCTTCGCCGCCCGGAGCAGGGCGTGTACAGGGGGCGGCGCGGGGCGTCCAGGCGAGTCCGGACCCCACCTTGCTCGCGCCAGAAAACGATCTGAGGCGCAGTGTAATTTTAAAAAAATTTTCTGGGGGTCAGTGCGTGCCGCAGACCCCCCTTCGCCGTGTCGCAACTTCGGGTTACGGTTAGACCCCCCTGGTACAAATCTGTACACGCCCTGCCGAGCAAATTCGCCAAACATTGAAAAACGAACCCCCCCCCCCCCCAATACAAAGTGGCTACGGCCTGCACACACACACCACACACACACACACACACACACACACACACCACACACACACAACACACACACATTTCCGTCGATCGCGTAGCATAATAATTAGCTGTATGTGTAACGAAAGAATCCGTCTAACGTCGAAATTGCCGTCTCCTATATTGTATTTACACGATATTTGTCGCGCGTATCGTCTGCGAGTGTATGTAATCGAGAGATGCTCGGCGGCCGCCGCTCTGATCGCTACATGACCCCTCTGCCGCGCAGCGGTAGCGCCGAAGCCCCGCAAGTAATCTCTAATCAAGGCGAATGCGTGACTTGTTGCCTGTGTTAAATAAGACGATCAACCTTAATTGTGCATTTCAGTCCGCCACCATACTCAACTACAGCGTAACTGAGCGCTGTCATCGTTTGTGTTTTTCTCTCGCATTATTCTCGCCACACTCTTCTCTCTTCATCTATATATGCTATATAATATTAATGATATATATATAGGACCTATTATATTATATATTATATATATATATACTATCTATATAGTCACGGCACGTCAGTCTGTCGTCAAATTAAAAGCAGTAGTAGCTGACATATTTTGTCACACTTCGTCTGAAGTTTATGTGGCGTAGTCTAGGATGTTATGCTTCACATGATATTGATCGGTAGTATCCTGGTCTGCGTACGCCGCTGACGCTGTGGTCTGATTGAGAGCCAGCATTATCATTCGATGATCAGTTGCCGATGATGCCCACGAGCGTTCCACGGGCTAATTCGCCTACACGTTCCTAATCTTAGATTTATTGCCACATCTGAACCATAGACGCGCAATTGATGTCGAGATTTTTATTTTTTCAGTAAACATGCTGAATAGGAGTTAACGATGTAGATGTACCATAAAAGTGGCTAACACGAAGAGCTATATGCATGTATATATATATATCTATATCTATATCTATATATGTGTATGTATCGCATAGATATCAGAAATATTTCAGATTTAATCGTGTATATCTCATGGATTAAATACAGCATCATAGTCATCGGCTGAAACAGAAAACTGCAGACGCGCTCTCATCGGAATCTCAAGCGAGATTTAAATATCGTATTCCCGTTCACATTATAATGGGTACGGAGCTACATTGCTATGTGGCAAAAAAGCTGTGAAGCAAGAATTTTGCGGGTCAAAACCAGTGTTTGCGTGATAACTCCGTAGCAAGTGCTCAGATGACATTGCTACGTTTCAGGTACTATCAAAATAAATAATTGTAATAATTAACTAAAAAAATACGCCAATAACATTTGCCATGTCAAAACTACCTTTAAATGTGACATTCTTGAGATATTTAGTCAGAGTGGCGACGTTTATGTCGTGCATTTCCGCACACATGCCACGTTTCACTCCGCACACTACGCGATGCATGTCCTTCAGCGCATGCGCAATGGCGTACACCGCGTCGTAGATGAAGTGCAGATAGAGGGCGATAGTGTTGTTGAAAGTCTCGTTGCTTGTGCACGTCCTGGAGTAGCTGTTGAATGGCGTCACTGGCTCGCCGACGTAGCGGCACTGGAACTCGCTCTCCCAGTATTCCTTGAACCAGGGATTGTGCTTCTCAGAATGGTTGTCAGGACGCAGACGCGTGAAGTAGTTGGCGAAGCCCGGTAGGGTGCGCGCAAGAGGCTGCACGGTGATGGCACCGTCCACTGACGACAAAAGAAAGCTAGATGTGATATATTTATATATATTTATATATTCACATATATAACAAGAATTATAAAGAGCAAGAATTAGATTTGACTGATGAAATAAATAAAATTAGCTGCATTTTCGGAACGTTCTTTTTCTTTATTGAATTCCCATGGGGCGCTTAGAGGAATAGACAAGTCTCTCGTTTCAATAACGCGGTCAGTGGCGCGCTGAATTCACTGTTTTGCCGAATGTTGCTTCGCCAACCATTATCCAGAGAATTAGGGATACAAGCCGAATACGTTATAGCAAACTGCGGTGGTGTATTACCAGAGAACACGCGGGAAAGCATTTTCTGCTGAGAATGCCGATTTGTGCTTATCAGTGAAATCGCGTTAGCAGTGATCGTAGCGTTGGGATGATATTGACAAGGTGCTATCCTAACGCTGCAGCGATATGCGGCTTGTTCTGTGGCCAGACTTTTTGGATGAGCTCTTGCCAGTCACCATATTACTTTGTAGTTTAACAGTACAGTGATCGTCCACGGGCAATTTCGTGTAGCAATGTGTCTGTGACGCTGACGCCCGTTGTCAGAAACAAAATTACTCTTAACATTATCTTTGACTTTACAATGTTTCTGACGTAGGGGGCGGGGGGCGGTATTACCTGTGCTCTCCAACCCGTCGACAACGCTCGTGCGGCTGCTCCAGCCGTCACTGCCTATCCACGTGAAATTCGCTCTCACTCGGTGCGCGGCGGCCATCAATCTCCGAGCTTGCTGCATATCGACGAAGGCAACAACAACTGCGGCGACAGAGAAGAAGAAAAAGAAGGAGAGTTCGTGTACAGCGAAATTCGAGAACGTTAACGATACAGTGCATACAGAAGAGTTCTTAAAGATATTACGCATGTTTCATGCTATACATATTCACTTGTTTCGAATACTCACAGTTGGCGAAATTTTAAATTAAAAATTAAAAATTTTTAAAATTAAAATATGCACAAAATTGAATAGTGTTTCGCTATAAGATGCCCATAGCTTCCTCATAACGCTTCCTTATAACGCTAGATTATCCAGCCAGGCCATCATGTGAACAGCGGGATACCCACGCACCTGTTTCCCACAAATATACGCGCGTTTTACCGTCGTTGTAATTTCAAATAAAGATCTCACACATAAGCATACGCGTATAGTAAGTAGACTGAGGACGGCAGGTAGATTGATGACCTTAGTAGATTATGTTGGTCGTCGGGCGAGCCCTGCCTGAGTGTACAGCGCTATCGCAAAATCATTACATTGTTAATCACTTAGTTAAAGACATGGAATTACTGTCAGCGGCAAGCATTTAAATACTGGTCTAGGGACCCCAATTGCTATTGATTATCAACTAACCGAATATAAATCATTGATAATTTAAGAGAAATACCGACAGACTATCGGATTGCTTATATCCTTTGACGCAACGTGACACGCTAGGGCGAGCGTTTTCATACGCGTTCATTATTTCTTTCTTTCGTCTTTTCGAATTTTATTTTGCGGTTTTGGTGAGAAACTAAATCTTTAAACGTTTTTGGCTAGGTCGAATGTGGGTTTATGAAAGCGATAAGGCAGCGTTAAACCAACACAAACGTTTCATCGGCCTAAACCTTTGCCGCAAATTATTTTTAGCGTGGGATCTGAAATACGATTAACCCGAGTTTCATTAAATAAAATCTAAGTCGAGTGCATCAGTTTCGATTGTTATTATAAGGAGCACCCTGCTCACTCACCCAAATCGCTCACTTGTCTTGACATTCACTATTGCAGCACGTTAAGCCAACACGTCGACCAATTCACTACAAATCCAAAAACCTCACTAATTTACTGATTCATTAATTTACTAATGAACAAATTCTACCATTTCATTAATTCATCAATTCGATAATTTACTAATTCGCCAATTCCCTGTCGTTTGGTACGCATCGCGCCAGATCATAATATAAATGTTACATAATAATAGCATTATTAAGTTTAATGTTTGCAGGCTATATATCGCAGCAGCTGCTGACTGACGGAGCGAGTTTGAAGGCAGATCTAATTCAGATCTAATGCTTCTAGCTGACATTTCACGACAGCCATATGATCACAGACGTGACAGCGGCGGTTCGTGAAATTCATTAGCAGCGAGCAGCATGCCCACCACAATCACGGCAAATGTGATTTGCACTCAATAATTGTATTAGTGAAGCGCACCTGAGCGCGCACACACACACACGCACGCACGCACGCACGCACACACACACGGCACATATAGCAGTATATTATACAGACAGAAATCAAGCAGAAGGACACAGCTATAGGTACACGGAATCAATAGTCAGCCATACTGCCGACTGATCACAGCTGTTATATACCTACTTTTCGCTTGGCGTGGGTGCATGGCTACTACCTGCGCGAGAAGTGCCGTTGGCTCTGAGTCGTTGGCTACAGGTGTAAGGATGCGCTTCCATATAACATTAATCTTTCGAGGATGCCATCGATGGATGGGCGAAAATGCTGCTATTTAAGGCTACCGATGCGCCGGTGAGTACCGGACGTGAGGGAACGCTGCTTGCAATTACCGTTAGCTTTCGGATTGCTTTTTAGCTTCGTGATGATGTAATCGTAGGCGTCGTCTACGACGTCTTGCACCGCCTCCTTCTGCAGACGCTGAGTAACACCGAAGCAGACGTCATGTTCGAACGACAGCTTCTCTAGCTCCTGGAATCCCTTGATCCCGTAATTTGAGTCGTCGTACACCGCAGACACATAAGTCCAGTTAAACTCCCTGTGCGTAAGACAGAATTGATCGGTGATTACCGATTAGCGAGTTTTAATGTGTGATATGGTCTCGTGCGGTAAAGTGGATGGGATATTAAAAGGAAATTATTGATTATCGCTTGTTTATAATGAGTTCATGTAATAAAATCAATAGGTTATTCAATACGAACCATCGATTATCGATCAGTTATATTAGCTGCTTGTGCGCGGGACATAATTTGTGGGAAATGCAATTATGAATTATCGTTTGCTGTTATTATTGAGCTCTATTTAATAATACGGATCGGAACAGGTTATAGGTCAATTTGGGCCGATACAGAGGATTAACAGTTTAGCTATGAATTTGAATTAACTCTATAACGATGTAAACATAAAATAAGGCATGTAGCTATTGATTGTTTCCCAAAACGGGACATACGTGAGGCATATACGTGACTAGACGTTTTTACGTCATCATGATTTGTGTGGTGCAGCAGGCTACAGTTCATTAATAAAACGTATTAGAAAATTTGGAACAGCATTCACTCAAATTAAAAATAATCCTAATAAGTTCTTTAATATTAAAAAAATCAAGAATTTTTCTCTACTGTAATTTTACCCGCTGTCGACGTATATAGTTGTTGTTAAGCAATTTAATTTGCATTCGTTGCACACCAGCGTACGACAACGAGCTAATTATAACGGGTCAAATACCTCGGAATCAAGGAAGGAATGAGGATGGAGCACATGCCAACGAACCGCCCAATTTTGTGAGAGACAGTCAAAATGCTGAGAGTGCAGCCTATTAAGAGATGACACATGATTGATGCCCGTCGCATCTAACAAGCCACTGGTGCATATACTCCTATCGATTCTGCATAATACCAACCTGCCCTTTTACATGCGTCCAATTATATTTCTTTCAAGATATGATTTCATACATTTCCCAATTAGTAACAAAGAAGGAAATGGGAACAGTAACAGGAAGAGATCGAGCGAGGGAGGGGAAGAAACAGAGATGACAGGGACAGCATAAATAGCTAGAAACCGAACCAGAGGCAACTGCAGATTTTTATAGAAGGAACGGTTCCTCAAACGGGAATATAATAAATATTATGTTATAGTAGATTTTATACATTTACCCTAACCTACAACACATGTACAGCTAACAAAAACAAAAATGCCTGGAGGTCCCGTATAGGCATCTCATCGGTGACTAATATCAATTAATAGTCACACAACATGCAAGTGTGTGGTTTAAATTGAAGTTTAAATATAATTAAACCAACCAGAGAGCTAAAATTTAACTCTTCCAGTTCGGTCCAAATGAACTCTGTTCCGTATTTCCGTTCTATTTAGCAACGCGAACGAACTGAATGACGTCAGAGTTCAAATAGAAAGTGTTTAAAAACTCACTAGCGAACTAACTATAATCACGCACTTCGAGCTCCTCTCGACACAGTCCAAAGGGTAATAGAGTCTTTAAAGACACTAAAGCACAACGCACACATCCGAGCGAAACACCTGAACGTGGAGCAAAAACGTGTTTCGCTCGATGTTCGTGGCTGTGTGCGGATTCCCGAAACAAAAAACATTGCTCAGCTGAGCGTGTTCGCGCTGAACAAGCAATGTTGATTCGCGACGTGTTTTTCGCGCTGAGCGTTACGTTTGCTGCGGGTGTGTGCGTCAACTCGTTCTGGCTACACAGCGAAAGCGGCAGCAGACGGTCCTCCAATGCAATTTCTTAAAAATATGCAACATGACACACAAATTGGATGTCGATTGGATGGCTATTTTGATGTCAATGTGACAGCGGCGCTGTACGCGTGTTAATCTGTATGTTTTGCTCAGCTGTGTGCTGTGTCGGTGTGGGTGTGTCGCTTAGCTGCGGCCGAGCAGAAGCGAAACGCTGGAAAAACTTAAATTTTCCCGATTTGCTTCGGGTGTGTGCGCGCAGGCTTAGGATGAGATGAATAATCTCATGATAATGATTTTATGAAAGGACTACTGCCATATTGGCCATAACACTTTTCAATGCGAAGTTTTCGTGTAGGTTAGTACTGCGTGAGGGGCCTGGTATAGATAACTTAAAGCAGTTTGCCTTAGTAAGATTTTAGCGTTTTAATATACTCCCGGCTACTAACTGCTGCTAGCTGGTGCTGCTGCTAACTAGCTACTACTATAATTAGGTTTATCAGGACAAATACCCGGGCCTGAAGGGCATAATCACCGCCGGGACAATTACGTCCCGACGATTCTACCCCGCCATGCATTCACCCGCGCCGGACAATTACTACTCCGGACAATACGCCCCCGGAGGCATTCACCCCCGACATTTACCCCGCCGGACTCACCCCCCCGCGGACATTTAACCCCCGCGACAATTACCCCCCGTACATTTACCCCGCTGACATTTATAGCGACCGACATTCCCCGCGGACCGTTTACCCCCGGAGAATTAAACCCCCGGACATTTTAACCCCGTGGTATACATTTAGAGGAGGAGTTTAGAGGACGATGGAGGATAAGTAGTGAAGGACGAAAAAGTAGGAAGGGAAAAGGAGGAGGTAGAGGAGTAAGAGGAGGTGCAGTGGTGTCCGAGGGCGGAGGAAGATGAGGAGGGGAGAAAGTGATGAGGAGGAGGTAGAGGAGGAGGTAACGGCGTATCTCCTCTAGCCTCCTCGCTCTGCTTCCTCTCTCTCTCCTCATGCCTGCCACTTCGCTTCTCCACGCTGCCGCCTGCGCTCCTCGCACCTATCCGCGCTCCTCTTACCACCACATTCCGTGCCACGGTTGCTCCGCCGCGCCTCTTTCCTCCAGCTCCTTTCCTCCTTTCTCCTGCCTTCCTCCTCCACCTCCTCTCGCTGCTTCTCCTCCTCTACTCCTCTCCTCCTGCTCCGTCCTCCTCTCCGTCTCCCCTCTTCTGCCTCGCTCTACCTTCTCCCTCCTCCTCCTCCACCACGTTCTCCCCACGTTCTCCCGCCTCATCCTCCCTCAACTCCTCTCTTTCTCGCTCCTCCTCCTGCTTCCTCTCTCTCCTCCTGCTCCTCGCTCTCTCCTCGCTCCTCCTCCAACTGCCTCTCTATTCTTCTGCCTCCTCCTCGCTCTCCTCTATCCGTCTCCGCTGGCCCCTCCTCTACCGTTCGCTCCCCCCTCCTGCCTCTACCACTTGCTCCCACGCTTCTCTCTCCTCCTGCATGCTTCCACACCTTCCTCCTCGCTGCGTATCTGTCGCCTGTATCACATGTTCAAACCAATGAATAATATATGCACCAGGATGGATTAAATTGTCGGGGGGTAAATGTCCGGGGGGTAAATGGTCATTGGGAGGGGGGTAATTGTCCGGGGTAAGATGTACGGGGGGTAATATGTCGGGTCGGGGATTTATTGTGCGCGGGTGTAATTGTGGGTGTGAATGGATGGGGATATATTGTCCGGGGGTAATTGTCGCGGGTAATTATTGCGGGGGTGGAATTGTCCGGGAGTATTTATCCTAGAAACTATAATTCTTATTATTATTACTACTAACTAACTACTACTACTACTACTACTGACTACTAACTATAGTCTTAATACCAGCAGTAAGATAATATATTAGGATATATTATATAATATATCGCTATATTATCTTACTCTGGCTACTATACTCTACTATACTAACTATAATACTACTACTGACTAACTACACTAGCTTACTACTACTACTACTACTACTACTACTACTACTACTACTACTACTACTACTACTACTACTACTACTACGACTACGACCACGACCACGACTACTACTACTACTACTACTACTACTACAAACACGACTACGGCTACTACTATATACTATTAATCATTACTCGTATCTTAGCACTAATATCTTGTTGTTGCAGGCGCCACACAGTGGTCTGGCGGCACACCTATCGGCTGACTTATCTCTCCCACAATACATGACAAAAACTGATTCAGTCATTCCGAAGAAATATGAGCCCGCCTTCGGCATACTGCTGCTCTCGGTTGGGGGGGGGAGGGAGGGGGAGGAGGAGAAGGGGTAAATGCGTATTGCTTGTTCGACGTTAATAAGCCGCCGTTCACGCGTCGTTGTCCGTATTTTATTTCCGAATGACGCTCAGGTAATCGCATGCCAACGACGGGAAAAAACATAAAATAAACATTAACGCGGTGACGTTTTTTCTTTTATTCGCGTGTCATTAAGAGCGTAGCGTCGCCCCGTGATCGGATCCGATTACTGGCGCCATCTAGCATTAACCGCAATCGAATAATACTAATTCCGCGACGATGGGTAGCAGTTTCTGACGACATGAACCGTCTATTACGGAGAAGGTATTCATTATTTTCGCGGGTGAATACGTCGAAGGAATACGGGCCTAATTCGAGTCACGTGCACGATTATTTGCCAAGTGACACCCACAAAGTTCTAGAATTTAAACGTTGGGGGGGGGGGTAAATATCAGGTGAGCAAATCTCGGGTGAGCATATGTAGCATGACATCGAGACAGGAACGGAAACCACTAAGGAGAGGAGGAGAATGAGGAGTAGGGAGGAGGGAGCGGAAAGCAGGAGAAGGAAGGAGGATGGAGAAGGAAGTGGGAGGCTACTAAAGTACCCACTGTTATACTTCTACCACTGAAATCTCTCACTCAGCAAGAAAGCGACAAACACTGTAACATGTCAGGTGAGTGCAGGAAGAAAAAAAGAGGAGGAGAAAGAATGAGGAGGTAGGGGACGGAAAGGGGAATTATGTGCATCACGGCGTTGAGCACTGCGCGTTATTGACTTGCTCAGGTACCTTGTTTGCTTAATCACTAATTAACGTCACACGGCATTGGCAATTCAATAACTAAACAAATACTTCCTCTATATTTATAATACGGTTCGAAGCACTGACTGGCTTGACGATAAATTCCACAAAGCGATTGTTTGGGTTATAATGTGTGATTTTGTAATCAAAAGTAGTACGCACTTAAAGGCCAATAACTTAAAATTATTATCTCTGAAGTAAAGCATAAAACAGAAAAAATGTAGACAACTTATGTCCCACCTATTAGCAGATATATTAATAATTACTCCAACATAAAAACTATCACAAATTCATTCTGTTGTAGGTTACAAAATATCAACTGAACAACAAACTTGAACCTATATTCGTAATAACGCCAATGAAATTTTAACATGGTACCCAAATACAAGTGCGTTTCTTTTTGTGTGCTATGAAAACATGCGCCTTTTCGTTGTATCAAAGCTCATGCAATATATAAAAAACATGCAAACATTTACTTTTACACTTCATAACTTCATGCACATTATGGTTTATTCAAAAATTTAATGCGTTTATGAATGGATCATTATATGTACTAAACTATAAATGCAAGGCAGTTAGATTATATATTTGGACTAAAACTGAGCATGCGCATCGGAGACGCAACGCAGCGTACGGCGGTGGCATTTGCGCAGGACTCTCGTGAGATAATTCCGAGAATCATATGCTGTCACCATTCTTGGCATTTATCTACTAAACGTGACGGCATTACGCTGTCTGAAATGCATTACGCGGATGTTAGACGTGCATGCATGGTGTGCGTGCATGTGCATGCGTGTGCGAGTGCGCGTGTGTGTTGGGGTGGGGCATATATATGGTACGTCCAACATGTATGGCTAGCAGATCGATTGCTGTTTGACGCTTGTCTAACAGCCGTAAATCAATGTGACCTAACACACACCACGCGGCTTATGCGCTTTAATTATATATATATTAGCTTAGCTTGAACGGACGATGGTTGGTAGCCAACTATGACATCGCGATAATCATAGCCCATGATATCGAACCGCGGTCACAAACAACATGCACGTCCCTGCACCACTAAAGTCGTTTGTTAACTGGATCCTGGTGGACACACAACGATATTTATATATATATATATATATTATTAAATATATATATATATATATATATATATTAGCTTAGCTTGAACGGACGTTGGTTGGTGGCCAACTATGGCATCGCGATGATCATAGCCCATGATATCGAACCGCGGTCACAAACAACACGTCCCTGCACCACTAAAGTCGTTTGTTAACTGGATCCTGGTGGACACACAACGATATTTATATATATATATATATATATATATATATATATATATATATATATATATAATAATATATAAGTACGTACGTACGTACGTACGTACGTAGTAGTAGTACGTAACGTACGTAGTACTAGTATAGTACGTAAGTACTTACGTT